TTGGGTAAATATTTGTGCATATTAATCACCTTATTAGCATAATTAGTTAATTTTCAGCTTTTCACCTGATATCTCGTATCTCATCACATTTCAATGACACTTGTGACATAGACCTTCTCGGACTATGCAGAGACCTGATTAATTTTGGGATAAATAATTGTGCATATTAATTACTTAATTTGCATAATTAGTTAATTTTTTGCTGTTGCACTGGTGTCTAAAGAACCACTCATTGGATTTTAAAGAGTACGCATCTTCACATTTCAATGAACCTATAACTATACACTATATTAGTTTTTGGTAAATATTTATGCTTCTTAATCACCTAGTTAACATAATTAATTAATACTGGTATCTCAAATACTGATCGTCTCATTTGAGTAAAATTTGGTACATAAATGCTCTAGGACAATAGACAGCCTGATTAATTTTGGGTTAAAATCTGTTATATTAATTCACTAATTAGTATAATAATTAATAATGTTTTTGTTCTAATCACATTTCAATGAAACTTGGTACATAGATGTTACATTGTCCAGACCTTATTAGTTTTAAACTTAAATCTGTTCATATTAGTTACCTTATTTGTATAAGCTTTTCCATCAATATCTCAAGTTCAAGTAATTTAATTAATTTTTAACGTGTCTCCAATACTCTCAGCAAACAGGAGTTCTTTCTAAGCTTTCTTTGATAAAACGAGGCTCCTCATTAGCTTCTTATTTGCATACAAAAATTCCCCTTGTGACGTCAGAAGGGGAAGTCGCATGGCAGCTTGCATTGCCGATATGTGTAAATAAGGCAAATTTCTTCGCAGTTTTCTCGTCTCTGACTAAATTTTCACTTGTGTACTTGTTCGTCGAGGAGGAATGGACCATACTGAACACATAGTATCAATTTTTGTTGCATGGGGTTGAGTTAGATGCGAAATATGTTCGTTCTGGTGTAGCTGGTCACCGTGATCGTCAGCGGCGTACGTTTGTACATTGTTGCTGGACAAAATAGAATTTGACGTCGGAATTATCTCGTTATTTAGCAGGTTACTAGGCACGTCACTACACTGTTTTATTTCATCGAGCGTCTGAGTAAAACTTTCAAAATTAA